TTGAATTGTTTATAACCCGTAATAAGTTATGATCGAACAGTTTACAACTCGTAATCGGTCATAACCGAACCGTTTATAAATTTTTTTTTCTATTTTTTTGGATATATTTTATCAATAGTAAAACAAAAGGGTTTAATTTGAATTATAAAGTATTTATATTGAAAAGGTTTGGAATTTTGATGTCATTGAAACTCTTATGCTACAATATTATCGTCCTCTAATGAATAATGGCTTATGGAACACTATATTGTATTAAAAAAAATTAGAAATCTAACTCTAAATTTGTTATTATTATTTGATCCTTAAAATCATTATACAAAAAAAGACATAAAGTTAAACAACTAATTAATACTCAACTGGAATAACTAATTAAAGAATATTGAGGATATACTAGACGATATACGTTAACAAAACCCGTTTAAAACTTGCAAAAACTAGTTGTCAAACCGACTAAGTTCAACTCGAATCGATTACCACCCGAATCAATTACAACCCGACCTGATTAGGACCCGATATGTGTTGACCCAAAACCCGCTTTAAAATGACAAAACCCGTTTTTAAACCGACTGAATTTAACCCGAGCTGATTATGACCCGAACCAATTATAACCCAACCCGATTAGAATCCGATCCGTAAAGAAACTGTAATAAAAATAAACCAAACCGAACCAACCTGAAATTATCTAAAACCGAACCGAACTGACCCGTTAATAATTCCAACCCGTTAAAAACCGACCCATTACAAACCGAAAACCGAACCCAAAACTAAACCGAAATCCTGATTGACATCCCTACGTGCAACAAATTGTCAAAAAATTGTAACAACATGTAAACAAATAGATAAAAAAAATAATAAAAAATTAAAAAAGGTTCAATGTAACAATACTAACAAAAGCTACCTGGAGTACTATGAAATTCGCGGTCTTTCACTGTTGTTATCAGATTTTAGTTCGAAGAAAATCCGACTGCGCATAGCCAGATAGTTCATAGTAGTATAGTAAGAATTAGAGTTAATATAAGTAAATTGTGATTTCTAATTTTTATTGGTACGTTTAGATATTTGTGATGGTAATCAATAAATTATTGGACATTATTTATGTACTTTTGTAGGTTTGATTTTGATCTCTTTAATAGCTTTCTTTATTCTGTTAAATTGCAGGGAAGTTATATGGTGATGAGGCAACTACGGGAGCCTCATCGTTGATGGTGATAGCTTTGGCACATGCGTTTGGTTTGTTTGCTGCAGTCGCGGCAAGTTTGAATGTATCAGGAGGGCATGTAAATCCAGCAGTTACATTTGGCGCCCTTGTTGGTGGTAGAGTCTCGTTTCTTCGTGCTATCTTATATTGGGTAGCACAACTCTTGGGTGCAATTGTTGCTGCCCTACTTCTCAGGCTTGTTACTGATGGCATGGTGAGTTCTAGCTAATTGCTGATTGTGGTACAATACCCTTGCTCAAAATTAATTAAAAGATAAACACATTATTTGGTTTAAGTTTGTTCTCTTGTATTGATTTTTAGTGTCCCAGAATGAATGATTTTTAATGGTGAAATGTTATCCACATAAGGTATATTATGTAAGGGTGAAAGTAATTCGGATTAAAACCGAACCGAAAACCAAACCGAATTAGTAATTCGGTTTAGATTTTTTTTGAATTCGGATTGGATCGGATTGAAACAATTAAAAAATATGGATTACGGATTGGATTCGGTTTGGGGTTTTAAAAAACCGAAAACCGAATTACAAATCGAATTTCGACCTAATACTTTAAGCCCATTTTCTTTTTCAAATTGTCCAACCACTTTCCCCTTACATATATAAACTTAAAAAAAAAAAAACCTAATTCTCAATTCCCCTTTCTCAATATCTTACTCTCTCACAAAGAATGTAGTTAACAAGGAGTGGTTGTAGGAATTATCTAGGTGAAGTTCGAATTTTGGGTTTGAATGTTGCAAAAGAAGGGAACAAATTTTGGTTTGGATTGGATCCTAATTTTAAAAACCGAATTAATTCGGTTTGGATTGGAATGGATCGAATCTTAATTCGGTTTGGATTCGGATTGAGATTTCCGAAACAGAATTAATTCGGATTGGATATACCGCAAACCGAACTTTTACCCCTAATATTATGCTTAAAGGTGTCAATTATGGTAACTGAGCCAAGTTTGGTTTGGTCTAGTAAGGTCGGGTCTAGTTTGGGTTTGAGTCATGTAAAATCATTTTACCATATAAGTCTAAATCTAAATCCAGTTACTTTTGGGTCGGGTTGTATCAGGTCAGGTTGTGTTTATTTTTTTTACACCTCTAGCCGTATGTGCTACATAAACTAGTGACTCTAATATACATGTCACCGATACTTGACAAATGATGTAAGGCAAATATTTTCAACTTGTGATCAAAAGCCAAGAGGTACCTAAGTTTTCGATCTAACACATGTATCTTCTACTTTCTGTTAGTATTTGCATAATCAGGTAATGTTGTTCTAAAATCTGACTATCTGAGTGATCTCATTTTTGTAAATATGTTACAGAGACCAGTTGGGCTAGGAGTGGCATACGGTGAGGGTAATCTTCAAGCTTTAATTCTGGAAATAGTGATGACATTTGGTCTAGTATACACGGTGTATGCTACCGCCATTGATCCAAAGAGAGGCAGCTTAGGGACCATTGCGCCTTTAGCCATCGCATTGATTGTAGGAGCAAATATTCTAGTGGGTGGGCCATTTGACGGAGCATCAATGAACCCAGCAAGAGCATTTGGACCGGCCTTAATTGGATGGAGATGGAGGAATCACTGGATCTACTGGGTTGGTCCGTTGATCGGAGGTGGACTTGCCGGACTGATATATGAGTTTATTGTGATCCCTACTGAGCCTCCTCATGCTCACCAACCTTTGGCACCAGAAGATTACTAGTTTCGTCGTCATAAAAATGTAAACACTGCATAGTTCCTTTATGTTTGCTGGGGGTGTTTAATTTTGTAGTCTTATTTGAGTCGTCTTCTTTTGTTGTTGTGTGAATTCTCTTAAGCTTTGGACTTGTACTTAAGAGGCATATACTGTGGTATGTTGTCTGTAATAAAAGGTGTCATTGCGTTTATATTCAATGTTGACCTTAAATAATATGAATAGCTTCCTTCAGTTGTACTGTCGACTGTCGTCTCCTACAATTATATCGTGCTAGTAAAAATGAGAAATCTGGTTTAAGGCATCTAAGATTGGGCTGATCCTAATGGTTTATGACATCTAAGATTGGCGCTGCTCCTTATCGAGGATGGTGATAATGATGCCAGTTATTGTGTTGCTTCTTGTTGTCGCCAAATTTGTCAATTAGTCTGAACTGTTGACACATATGAATAACGGCAGGAAGAAGATAAGAAATTTTTGCATAATGTATAGATCAATATAGCTGTCTTTTCAAATAATGTATGACTCACATTATATGCAGCATATAGTTGTTGAACCATAAGTCTATAACGAGGAATTGCAACAGGGTGAGGCAACAAGCCAACGAAAGAGTTCCAGCAAAAACAGAGTTGCAAACTTACAGTACATTGAGCACTTGAACATATGTAGACTATTCTTGCTGTTTGGGTGCTTAACCCCATTTGGGTCCCCAAATGTCAAAATCCCATTTTAAAGTCCAAAACTTATGTTCAAGTCCAATGCTCTATCAGGCCATCATCCCAGCAAATTAGGCTGACACTCACGCTTTGTTTGGATAGCAAAGAAGGAAGGAAAAGAAGGGGAGGGAAACTGGAGGAAGGGAAGGGAAAAGAAAGGGAGGGGGAGGTGAGCCCCATTTTCCCTCCAAATCTTTCCAATTTTGGAGAGATTATGGTTATTATAGAGAGAGGGAAAATGGATCCCTATCTCTCCTTCCCCTTCCTTCCCCCAATCTTTTACCCAAACAAGAGATTTTGTCCCCCTCCATTTCTCTTCTCTTCCTTTTCTTCCATTTCTTCCTATCCAAACAAAGTGTAAGTAATAGCCGGTCCCATGACCAGCTAATTCTAGTTGATTCTTCATTTTGAAAAAATGTAACATTTTTTTTTGCTACAGAATGTTCATTCTTATAAAATTAAATGTTCACTTTTATTGTATAGGATGTTCATTCTTATAATGTTACTGTTCATTTTTTTTAAAAATTAATATAGATTTTTGTTTTTGCTTAGTTGTATAAAGTGTTCATCTTATTCAATTGAGGTTAGCTTTAGAAAGGTTAGACATTACCATTAAATATACTCGTGTTAGACATTAGCATTATTGAAAAACATTTGTTGATTATTTGTTATTAAATCATACTCCATTTATTTTTTTTATAAGCTGCAGTCAATTTTGCACATTTGCCGTGAGACTGATTTGACAATCAATATTTTAAATGAGATATTCATAAAAATTATGAAAAATTAATTTATAAAAGGAGATATTATCAACATATTATGATCATATTTATATAATACCTCTGATTTTTTTTAGTTGCAATTTTGGAATATTTTATATCTCACAAATAATACCCAAAAGTTGCAACTAAAAAAAATCGGAGGTTATATAATGGTAAAAAAAATTAAATCGATGATGATATATGAATAGGGGAAAATCTCAACTCTATCTTATAAAAAAGACGAAGGGAGTTATTTTAGCAAATTACAGGACATTCTTTCAGTACCCTAAATAATATTTTAACCTGACTTGTTTCAGTTCACTAGCTGATTAACCTAACCCGATTAGGACTTAACCAAAATAAACATACCTTATATGAATTGAACCTACTTTAACCTAACTTCTTTAAGATTCATCTAATATGAATTCGAATTCACTTTAACTCGTCTAAACTTGATTCCAACTCAACTTTTTTCAATTAGAACTAAAATGACTTGCATGGATTGCAACCTAGCCTAATTATGAATGGACCTATAAGTTGCATTTATTAATCTAAAATCACTACATAGGATTAAGTTAATTTACTAGTATTTTACCAACTTTTTTTTTTTTTTTTTTGAGGCAACCTAGATTCAGTAAAAAAAAAGTAAAAATGAGATGCTCGCGGAAGACACAAAAAACCTGGTTTGGTGACCTAAGAAAAAGCATCTGATTACATATTTACATTAAATAATTTCTAGCGCGTATACCAATACCCGCATACATACTTTTATTTGAGTTCACCCAAAATCAAAAACCGTCCAAAATATTTCATTTAAAACAGACCCACAAAAACTCCCATAATTTATTTATTTTTTCTTTTCTTTTACAAAGTCTATAATTGTTACCTTTTCTTTGTCATTATTCTTCATAATCCAGAATCGAATAAAATAATAATACAGTTGAGATATTCAATTTTTGATGCAACAATTAGATACATAAATCTATGAATGAAATTGGGTATTTTTTGAAGAATTGAAAATGGTGATGATTTCAGTGTGGTTGATTGTTGGGTTCATAGTTGGTGCTTTAACTGTAATTGCGGTTGAAGGTTTTGTGATTTTGTATGTGATCCGTCGATTATCACACTCAACTAAATCACCCAAACTTGGTGTTCATACTTCTCCTCCAAATCCTCTTGATTCTAGCCAATCTCTTCCTTCTGTATGTCAGAAACAGGTTAGTTTCATGCTCTTAATTTCTTTCTTTGAATTTTATAATTAATCGTGGAATGTAAATTAGAACTGTGTTTTCTTTTCTATGATTATTAGAATTAGAATGTTGCAATTTCATTATCAATTATGGAATTTTTCCGGGTTTTTATTTTGTGGTTTAACAACATGCAGTTTTTTTTTTTTTTTTGGGTGGGTTTGGAATAATTGGAACAAGTGTTGGGTTTTTTTGTTAATTTTGATAAGAGTGTTGCAAGTAGTTTATCAATTGTGGGAACTCTCTGGGTTTGATTATGTGGGTAGCATCATCATGCTTAGTTTTTCAGTATTCTTGTTTCCTTTTTTCTTTTCTCAATCTAAGTTTTTTGGTTTTCGAATGTTGTTTGGTTATGTGCATTCGATGTGGAGAATTCAGTCAGTTTGTAGTAAATGCTGTTTTGTTACTTGCATTCGATGTGGAGAATTTGGCTAGTTTGTTGAAAAATGCTGTTCTGTCACTTGGATTCGATGTGGAGAATTCGGCAAGTTTGTCAAAAAATCTGTTTTGTTTCTTGCATTCGATGTGGAGAATTCAGCATGTTTGTAGAAGATTCTGTTTAGTCACTTGCATTCGATGTGGAGAGTTCAGCAAGTCAGTCGAAAATGCTGTTTTGTTACTTGCATTCAATGTGGAGAAAAACTGTAAAGTTATGGAAAATCGCTTTCAAATGTTTGACAACCATTTGTTTTTGCATAATTCTCTCCTTGGTCACATTTCTTACTTGGTCAATGTGATGCTAAGTGATAAAATTATACTGTGGATGGCTTGTTTGAATGAGCTTAATATATACAAGTATAATATTTTTGAAATTGAAGACATGACAAGTGGTTTTACTAATGGTTTATCTAACGAGATTTCACAAAAGTTGTTCTTTAAGATTAAGGATTTAGATATCCATGAGCGACAATAGTCTTTTTTACTTTTGTCACACCTCGTCTAGTGTTATTTGTGTTTGCATAATCCATTAAATACCTTCATGATTTGTTACGCAAATTTCTTGGCTCTTAATTCAATAATTGAGGATGAAAGATCGAGTGTATTCCAGTCCTTGGCCAAGGTCTAAATTTTTCTAGTGCTATTCCTCAATGTTTTTGGTTGCAGGGAGTGGTTTGGGTTTTAGAACCAGAACGCCATCCTAAATTTCCTGTTCCAACTGAGCAAACTAGGAAGCGGGAAATTTTAGAGGTTTCCCCTGTCCGGAAACTTGCAAAAGTCAAAGATCGTATGCTTATTCTGGCAGAAGCAGATGGTTCGCTCACAAAAGTAACGCTGATGGGTTGTAAAGTAGTTGCAGTTTCTGCTACAAGCCTGCCTACAAGAAAATGGTAACTCAAGTTCCTTTTATTTATGTAATGTAGTATGGTACTTGAAGTTTGATTTTGCGATTTTGCGTTAATAGTATTTTCTCCATATACCATATCAAATTTTTTCACTGACTGCTTGCCTATTTATCCAGGCTACCTAGGAAAATAAGATGAAAATAGTGTAATGACATTAGTTTGTTTGATGAATTATCCATGAACAAAAAGAAAAAGTAATGATTTGTTGAGGAAGAAGGTATCCATGGGCTTGTTGAGTTGCTATATAACATAAAACATGCGCTCTTTGTTTAGAGCTTATATGTAAATTGAATTTTTTGTTTTGGATTGAGGGGATTGGGGAAGGGCTACCAGTTGAAGGTTTAGTGAGAAGTTATTTCATGTGTGCTATATGTTTGCATTTCTTGTAATTCAAAGCTGTAGCATTCTTTGGATTTTTGATTTTGATGGACTAATATCATATTCAACGGACCATTAGACTGTACAATATAATATGGGCATGACATATCAATTTATGGCTTAATTTCAACCAACCCGTTTTTCATTCTAGTGGTAAGGTTTTGGAATACGTATTTGAGGTGTCAATTTTTATTGGAGGGAGTTGTCTATCTTGCCTCTCTGTGATGTTAGAGCCTTTTAAAGTTTTAATGTGAGAACCTTTTAACTTAGAATGATGTACCATGGAATTGACGCCTTCCCCCCTTCTCCTAGTAAATTGGTTATTAGGTTTTGGAGGAATCCTGATTCCTGATCCTCTTCTGACATAAGCTTGTCTTTGCAGTAATAAAATCAATCAAGTAAACTAAATATAGTACCGACATGTTACCCCTTCCGTTTTTTATTGACTGTTACACCTTTTTTTTTTTTTTTTTTTTTTTTTTTGCAAATTACTCCATTTTAAGATTATATCTCTCCCCTCCCATAGCCCCCCCCCCCCAAAACCTACTACTACTATTTTATTATTTCCTTCTCTTTTCAATATATTATTAATGCCGCTGTTTTTTTCTTACTTCCTCCGTTTTTTATTAGATGCATCACTTTTGTAATAGACAATATTTAGAGCAAAGAGAGATAGGAAAAAAAAAATTGAAAAGGGCCCGTGTGATAAGAGAGGTAGAGAGAATTTATTGACTAAAAAGGAAGGTGTGCATCTAATTCAAAACTTCCATTTATAGAAAGTGATAATCTAATAACAAACAGAGGAAGTATAATTTCTTAAAGTCAATCAATTTACCTAAAGCTATGTGTTGGTCAAAGTGTAACACTAAAAAAGCGGATGGAGTACATTTTTGGTAACACAACTATATTTGATTGCTATTTTAAATTTACCTCATTTTTGTTTGTATCAAGTTACATGGTACGTGATACAATAGATACGATTTGTGGTATGATATGGATGCATGGAATGCTATTAATAGTTATGCCTTGGAAGAGCAGAACAAAATGAAAAACAAAAGAATAAATGAAATTTAGTCATCATTGTTTTCTCTCTCACCTTTTCCCCTTTCTCGCTCTTCTCCAAGCTGCAACAAATCCTACAAAGTTTATAGACTTTTCTACGGCAAGCAAGAAACTTTCTGTGTTTGGGTCTAAGACTTGTCTATCTAGATCTTAAGGTTCAATGAACCCAGGTCGTGTTCCGTCACGTTCTGATACCTACGAATCCAGTTGCAGAACAGCTCTCTTTACTGCATTCCTTGTAATTTTGGTCTGTACATGTGACCTTGGTTCACTATTCTTTATTAGTTTTATCTTAGGCTTATAATGTTCTTTTAATTGTTGACACAACCTGCAGTAACCCAGTAACACTCAAGCTGCTCTAGCTCATTTAATCTTGAAAAGCATATGGATTGATGAAAACACAACTCGTTTTAATTGCAATTTGTATGTCTGTCTTTTAATGCTCTGAGGAGAAAAAAGACTCAAGGATATAAATTAATTTTAAGGGCAAGGTTTACGTTTATCATGTATAAGGTAACTTGATATCTTAATTCATCAGTGGAGCCTCGGAGGATGCCTTAAATACTCCCATCTCCCAGTGACGCAATCAAAGCCGTAATGCTTGATTCTTCAAAAAGGGTTGAAGTGAAGTAATTTGACAGTTGGGAACAACATTGGCATTGGTCATATTGGGAGTGTAGCTAGGAAAGTTCTGAAAACTGGTGTGGGGTAGGGAAGTCGAGTACAGTCAAGTACATGCAGACTTGGCTAACAATGTGACAGGACTTCAGTCATATCTGCAGAAGGAAAGATGCCTGTGGAATTTTATGGCAAATCTTTTATCTGTCAAGGATACAAATTTCATTTTTTAAGATATTGTATAGTTAGAGAAACAGTATTGCCTTTGAGGTGGAAATTATTTTGCCTCGATTTTATTAGTAGATTGATGCATGATATCCTTGATATGGGATTATTCCTGCACTAGTTATACTTTTGTATAAGTTTTACTATGGTGTGACACTTCTTTGCTGATCCTACATAATTCTGGAATCTTCCCTTTGTTCCCTCCTTTATCCTCAACAAACTTATCTGAACATTTTAAGAGGTTAACGCTGCTTTTATCTTGCTCTATTGTGGCCTTACAACAACAACAACAAAGCCTTAATCCTAAAATAATTTGGGGTTGGCTAAGATGAATCATCATAAGGAATTGTTGTGAAAGAAAAACAAACATAACAAGATAACGGTTGTAAAAAATTTGATTAAAAAAATAAAGGGTTTTTCTATACAGTCCCCCTGAGGAATTGACTTTTCCAAGCTGTGCCCACCCATTTTCAAAATTCCACAATGTATCCCTAAGGCCCCTTTACTGTCTACGATGTAATCCTACCCTAATACCTCCGTTAACTTTCCGTTAACTTCAAAATAAAGAAATTAAAAAAAAAACAAAAAACAAAAAAAAAAAAACCCAAACACCTCTCTCTCCTCCCTCACAACCACCCACCACTACACCTCCAACCGCACCACCACCCCACCTCTCTCTCCTCCCTCACAACCACCCACTACTACACCTCCAACCGCAGTCTCCATTTCCGGCCATCCCTCCCCCTTCGCCCTGACCGCCCTTTTCCGGCCACACCTTCCCTTCTCTTTCAACCATTCCGGCCAGCTCTCCCCCCAGCCACGCCTCATACTACAAAAATCCAAATTCCAAATCAAAGTCAAGAATTTTAAATCTAATAATCCATCGAGTACAAATCAAAACTCAGAATTCCTAATCTCATGGTATAATCGATTGAATTTGGGCGAGGGTTTTCGATGGTTTGGGTGAAATTCGTCCTTAAAATCGATATGATTTCATGAAATTCGAGCTCAAGAAAACCGATTCCAGCGTCGCCAATGCACTTCGCCGCATTATGAACGCTGAAGTTCCCACCGTCGCCGTCGAAATCGAAGTTAACTCCTTCGTTCTCAATGACGAGTTCATTGCTCACCGACTCGGCCTCATAGGTGGTGGGTCAAGGAGAGAGGAGCGCGGCTCGGTGGTGCAGCTGGGGTGCAACGGAGGTGGGGCGGTGGTGCGGCCGGAGGTAAGGGAGGAGAGAGAGGTGTTTGAATTGGTTTTTTTTTGTTTTTTTTTTTTAATTTCTTTATTTTAGTTAACGGAAAGTTAACTTAAGTTAACAGAAGGATTAGTGTAGGGTTACATCGGAGACACTAAAGGAACTTTAGGGGTACGGTGTAGAATTTTTAAAATGGGTGGGCACAGCTTGGAAAAGTCAATACCTTAGGGGCATTGTATAGAAAAACCCAAAAATAAATTGTGTAAAGTAAGACAAAGATAGAGTATATAAAATTTTTAGAGAGTTTAAAAGGGTTCCAAGAATACATTTTAAGAGAGTTCTATAGGAGTGGTGAAAATGTGCGATTAAAAAACATAATGATTTGAGAAAACTTTAGCAAATGAAACCAATGGAGTTTATAAAACACTAGTTGAATAGAATAATTAAAGGAAACCAATGACACATTGTTGACGTGAATTTTCTCCCTCTATACCGCTCTATCCAACACCATATTTTCTTCTATCCCCAAAGCAGTTATATTATTCTCAATCATCCTCTTTCCAAATTTTCTTATGTCTTCCCCTACCCCTCGCGATCCCAACACTTTGCAACTCACAAAATTGTAGCCTTACCTTGGGCAAAATTCATACTTGGTTGCTATTTTGTTAAATCCCATGAGGTATGAATATTTGACTGCCAATAATGGTAAAGTGTGATTAACATTAAGGAACAAAACAAAAGGGAAAGCTTTTGGTTTTTCACGTAGCCATAAGGTCTCTGAGCTTGGTTGTGTGAATAATGTGAATACAAAACTTTAACTCGTGTCATCATCTTAATCCGGAGAAGTAACATCTAAGAATAGGGTGTATCAGCAGAACATGTTATGTCTTCTATAATTACAAGCATATATGCAGTATAGATATAGTAGAAAATACTGCCTTTATCCAATCATATCATTTTAGTCAACATGATTAATGTGGTTCATAAAAATAATATAAGTTACATTTTGAGTCAAAAATACAGAACATATGAAGTATACAGTAATTTGAGCCAGCAGTTTTTGTTTTCTTATTGTATTTCTTTTATATTTGTTTTTCAGGGCAAAACGTTTCCCAATCAAAATAGAAAGCAAGAACAGAGTTTTGTATGAAGGAAGCAAGGTGCTATATATATATGCAGAAACTTCCTGTGAGAAAGAATCTTGGTGTAAAGCTCTTCGCATAGCTTCGTTGGATGATAAAGAAAAACTACTCTGGTTCCCTAAGATAAATGAAGATTTTCGAGGCTATTTGAAATCTTTAAGCGAAGGATATCCATTTCTTATCAAACCCTTAGTGGGTTATCAAGGGTGGCCCTTGGATAAAGCTAACCGGCTTGATGATCCACCATCAAAGGTTCGTCAGATTTGGAGAAAGCTTTCGAGAAAGACTTCTTTGGTCACTCTTGATGAGAAAAGGGTTGCTGATAAATCTCATGGCTTTCAAGATCCTTATTCTGCTCCAAGTATTGCAAAGGCGGCTAATCTGGGAAAGATGCAAAATGAATTTGAGGAACATAGCCCTTCTGTTTCTTCCACTGCGTCTACTCGGTCGGGGAATTCAGTTCTTGGGTCTGAGAATTCTGATGTAGACACTGCGGAGAAGTTTATTGTTGATGAGGGCACACTTTGCTGGAATTTATTGGTCTCTCGACTGTTTTTTGACGCCAAGAGTAATGTAGATATCAAAGCTGGTTTAAAGGCTCGGATTCAGGTAAAAAAAAAAAAAAAAGTAAAATTATCTTTTTTTTTTATCAATCAAATTTACTAATTGTGAGTGTGGAATTCTGTGATATGTTTTTTTATGCTTTGTAAGTTTTGATGTTTTGTCAAAGGAATCCATAGAACAGAGTAGTTTTCTGTAGGTCTGTCAAATGTATCCATTTCTTGATTCCTCATATGCCTTAGAGGCCTAGAGTATTAAGAACTATTGATTACATGAACTACTTTTGTTTGATTTTTCCAAACTCCTTTTTGTTTATTTATTATTCCCTCTCTCTCTCTCTCTCTCTCTCCCTCTCTCTCTCTCTCTCTCTCTCTCTCTCTCTCTCTCTCTCTCTCTCTATAGTTGGATGCATTTTCAACTTTGAAGCTTTGTGGTAAGAATGTCTTCCATCTGAAATTTATATGGCTTGTATTAGTATAGTTGATGAAAGATTTACACTAATGTCAATAAGTGGATAATTTTTGCCGTTGATAAGTAACTGTGTTCATAGGGCTGAAGGAGCTAAATCTATTATGATAATTGATAAGACATTAGAAGATCAAGTCTAAGTTGTAAAAAGAAAACAATTAACTTTTTAGATATTATTGAGACATATACTAAAAGATACTATTGAGATAGCTGATTTGTATTTGTATCTTGTGACAAGGCAACAATTATCATATTTTGGGTAGCTGCAGCTTAAAATTATGTTCCCCTTTTCTTTGTTTTGAGTTTTTGTGAACATAAGAACATTACTTTGCCTTCTACATTGAGTAATCTTACTTTAATGTATGATATTCCAGAGATCGCTCTCAAACATGAGATTGCCCTATTATATTGGTGAAGTGACATGCACTGATGTGGATCCAGGAAATTTGCCCCCTTATATCCACGGGATGAGAGCTATTCCTTCTGACATGAATGACATTTGGGCCATGGAAATGGACATAGAGTATTCTGGTGGAGTAGTTTTATATATTGAAGCCCGACTTGAAGTGCCTGAACTAGATTCTCATAGTGGATTGGCAGACCACAATACTGAGTCAAGCTCTGTTGGGGAGGCAGCGACTGATATTTTGGATGATTTGAAGCCCTTGCAAGAAGAAGAAGATATGAAGCTTTATGATGGGAATAAGGATTCTTCAGAACAAAAGGACGCAGAAGATCTCAAACATGGTGAGTTATGTCTTGTAATTTCATAAAATAGAAAACTGTGAGAAACTACTGTCATTTACCACTTTTTACGAACAATTGCTCCATTCTAAATTACTTTTGACACTTAGTAATGGCAGATAGATAAGCTGTTTGGTTATAAATTGTTATCTGGTTGATTAAGCAGATGTGATGGGAGATAATGAACTCTAATTCATTTAAGAAGTAGTTGTGATAGAAGATAGTTTGGTAATTTGTGATTGAAAGTGCGAGGATGTGATGGGAGATTCTAGCTTACTATTGGGACCTTCCTAAAATAAATATGTAAAAAGCTTTTCTGGGATATTGGGAATCTTATAAGTGAAAAAACTAATTTGAATTGGTGTATCTTTTTTTCCATTAAAAAAGATTATACCAGTATTATAAGATAGGTTTGTTTGTCTAACACTGCCACTTACTAGTTTTTTGTGGAATTATGCTGTGTATGGCCCACCACCCTTTTTCCATTACTTCCTAATGAGCTTGCTCCTTTTTTTTATTATTATTTTTATATATATATATATATATTTAATTTATTGTTTCTATTGGGCAATTTTTTTTTTTTTTTTATGTTTGACTCACTTATTGACTTATTGTAGATATGTATCTCAAGAAAACTTTGAAAAAGGTAAGCAAGTGTAAGGAAAAGTAAGAGAGAGGGTGTACAAATGGGTTGTTGTAGCCATGTAAGATAAAGTAAGAGAGAGCATGAAGGTGGTTGGGTGTAAGATAAAGTAAGAGTGGGGAAAGGTGTAAATATGAACATAAGAATCTAACATTATTGCATTGTATTAGCAAAATTACTGACATTTTTATGGTTATGACTTATGAGGACCTACAATATTATTGGCACAGTACCTGGTTATACTTCAGTCAATAATATTACTTCTGCTTTGTTGATTTTAGTAGTCAAAACTCTTTTTGAGAAGTAACTCTGAGATGGAGATCAAGTGTAGATGTTAACTTCACTGGTTTTGCAGTCTCTTTATTTCCCTCTTTTTCCTGGTGTTAAATTTCAGAGTTGCTGAGAAGTTCCAGGACAGGTGTATCTACTGCCAGTACTGGTTCTAGGTGGAAGTCTATTTTGAATTCTGTTGCCAAACATGTGTCTCAGGTTTGCTAATTTTTTTGTTACATTCATAGTGCATGTCTTACAATGCTATTGATTGGATTACATGCTGCTCTATTTCCTTTTCAATTTACCAAATTTTGCTTTGCAAACTTAAGGAGCATTCTCTTTGTATTTAAGTATCCTGCTTTGTTTATTTAAACTTTTATCAGATAAATAGATTACTGGTTCTGAGATTCATGGTAGCCTTATTATGGTTAATTATCATCTCTGCTTGAACTTGTCATCTGTTTATCTTGATCTACCTGTCATTGTGTTGAATTTAGAACTTGGAACATGGTAAGGGTCCCCTGATCATCCCTCTTGACTAGTTGACTGTTTCCCTGTAATCTTGGGGGTCAAGAGCTTAAGACAAACAGGGTTCCTCTAGCAGGGAAAATGAAGGGGGTTGTCTAGTGGGGATGGTGTAAACTAATGACAAAAATAGTCTTTTTTTTCTGCACTTGTTACATATAATGTCTGTTAATTAGGCAGTAAGATTACTTTAACCCCTCTAGCCGGGTTGGGGGGGGGGTAACTAAGACAAAGCGGTTTCAATTTGTTTTCCTTTGGAGGAGGTTTGCCAAGTGCTGTCATTTGCATGAGAGCAGCTCCTGATGGAACTTTATACCTTATTCTAAACAAATGAACTTTCATTAAACAAGTAGGATATATACTGAAGAAACGAAGATGCTGATTTAAATACTTAAGTACAGTATATTAATCTAAGTTGATCATGTGACCTAGCTATTTCTCTATGGATTTGGGCTACCCAAGAGATTTTTATCAGCTGAGGGCTCAGGCCCTGCCTGGATTGATAGTAATGGGACGGAATAATTCAAGGCTTAATAATTACGGACCATAGTACAAAGCCTGAAATAGGGGAAATAATTTGGGCCGAATATTTACCCCCCAAATGAGGGTATTACGTTACCTAGGGCGGCAGAGCCCCCCTAGGGTAACTAATCAGGGGTTAAATAAATTTAGCCCAAACTTCAACCATTTTACTGTACCAGCCGGTAACCGCCCACTCATTCTCTGTCCACTAAATTATTCTCTCTTTAAAATTCCTCTGATTTTTTTTTGAATCAAATTTCCTCTGCATTTGGTTGAAGCTGATTAATATTTTCCATGGCTTAATTAATTTCTCTTGATCATTGAATTTGAAGTTTGAAAAATTCGTGAATTTTTATTTAATACTTGATCTGCTTCAAATGCTATTTATAAAAAACTCAAGGGGCACTGAAGCGAGAGGGGTTCTGCTGCGCTTAGGTGCGCCTCTTTGAAGTGAGGTGCAGTATATGGGCAGTTAAAAATTTTTGGCTGAAGTTTGCTTCAAGTGCGCCTCAGGTGCGCCTCTCGTGCACCTTAGGTACGACTCAGGCGCTTTTTGTGTGCCTAACCCCCAAAACGCCTCGCCCAGTCCAAATTAAGCGCTCACCCAGTCCAAATTAATCACTCACCCAGTCCAAATTAAGCACTCACCCCTGATTGGCCCAGATCAAATGAATAATTTAGTTTCAAATTTTGCTTCAAATTTATAAGATTTAATTTATTTTTTTTATATTATTATTAGATGTAACTTTTTTTTTCCTTTTTTTGTTTCTTTTGCATTTTGATTTTGAATTTGATGATAATTTTTGAAGTGGTTCTTAACATTTTGATTTTTGATGGGATTTGTGAAGTTGCTCCGTACTATCTTGTTATATATGACCAGAATTTCAAAAAGTTTTTGTATCAATAAATCAAACAAAGCCTTAATCCCATAAGTAGGGTAAGGTACATGAATTAAATTTGAAAAGAGTTTTTGTTTATATTTGTATAATTTTGTCATGAATTTCAGTTTTACAACCTACTTTAATATCATAGTATATTTAAATTTAATTGATTTTAAAAAAAAAGGCATGCTCATATGAATCATATCTCGAGTGTCTGAAAGAATTCATCCGTTCCCCATTATTTGGTTCACTTAATCCAAACCTTGTGTCCTTGTCTGATTTAATGTCCTTGAAATATTCTCCCATAATTAGTCCTCTAGTATCAATTGCCCGTATAGAATCTACCCTTGTAATGAGTATATTCCAAAACAGGAAAGGCCTAAGCCAAATTACGCACTTCACAGTTCACATCACAATGCCTACAAAGAGGCGTCCATCAGGGTAATCAAGTTTAAATAACGCAGTCTTTTCCCTGCAATGGTGAGAGACCAATTTCATTATCAATCTGATATACAATGGCCATATGCTACTTTACTATAAATCTATGGAGCAGACATGTTAATTTAGTTCATTATGATAAAAAAAATTCTTTTTTTTACAAGTCTTTGACTTTACTGGAAATGAAAGATATTAGCTATCCCAAAATTATACATCTTTAGGCAGACCTTTGTTCTTGAAATTTCTGAAACCCACTTTAACCAAGAATTTGGATATTGACACGTGTGTCACCATGTAATGGCACAGTTTGTATCCTCCTGTGGGTCATATAGCCTTGTGTAGAAAAAGGCATAAGCTATGTTGCTTAGACTCAGATTTGGGTGTCGGATCCTTTGGCACTCTAGATTTTATAAAATTTCATACAAGGGCATTATATATTTGGGTGTCTGTCGTGTCAATGTGTCGGGAGATCCGACACATGACACTCGTTGTACAACATGGTGTCGAAGTAACATAGGGCGTAAGATACCTAGGCAGACCTAACAAAGATCAAAGAGCCCAAAGTGTTTTCAAAGGCCTGTAAGCTCATATTCTGCAACACTGAGACATAGATCATGTTTTGTGTTTGCGAGTGACCTAGAGGTTTAATTTTATTGTATATGTACTTTTTCCATTGTCTTTTAGTTGCTACGTTTTGACTTTCACGCTAGCAAATGCGTAATTACATCCCACCATATCTTTGATTATAGACAAGTAAAATATCATATATAAATTTAGACGAATTGAACTAGATCCCACATGACTATCAACATATAGATCAATAAAGGTAATTAGATAGAAGAATGTGAATATGCATATTTTCAAATGTTGCAACTAAAAGTTAGCCGAGCAATTATCTTTTTTTTTTTTTTTTTAAAAAAAAGAAAAAAATTGTTGATTGTATTGACTAAAGATGTCTTGGTGAAATCCTAGAATATGAGGTTTTCTTTCTTTACTTAAAGATTGGATGTAGAGACAACGGTGTTGAAGTGTGATTTGCTATTTTGGCTGTCTTGATAGAAGCATTTAATGCGTTTAGTTTATACCTCATAATTGTTAACCATCTTGTTTTACTTTTTCTGTTGTATATGTTGGATATGCATAATATGAACTAAACATCCATGGAATGTTTCTGATTGTAAATTTAAAGTGGATTTTTTTTTTCTTTACCAAATAGCAAGTATCCTTTGTGTTAACTAGTGATAAACTATACCTTATGAGTTTTATAACTCGGAATGAAGTGCAAGAATGAGTACATATATGTAGCTTTGCCTTGGTAATTGTTATTTTATTATTTATTGTATTATATTTTGTTCCAGTGTGTGTGTTTGAATGTGTTTATACCATTCAGAGCCTTTTTACATCCTACAATGACATTGTCAACTATAGTCTCATTTTAAAAAAATATATTTTTCAATGTGTCCCTAAAGTTTTAGATTAGTTCTAATGGAAACTATTTATAATTCAAGGTACCTCTTACTTTGGCAATAAGGGTGGTAACACTGAAAGGGACAATCCAATTGCATATGAAGCCACCGCCTTCTGATCAGCTCTGGTTTGGCTTTACCTGCATGCCTGATATACAATTTCAATTGGAGTCCTCTGTCAAGGATCACAAAGTTACCAATGGACGTGTAGCTTCATTTCTAATAAACCGATTTAAGGTGAGAAGAAGGTTCTTTGATTTAGAATCCTTGTTCATACTTTCATTATTCAACCCTGTAATTATTTCGATGCACTAAATTATGCTCGTGATTATAGTTTGTATTTCTCCATGGATTTTCGCTACATTGGCCGAAGATTTGGTTTTTAATTTTGGAAAAATTAACATAAATAATCCAAACTATTAGCCCCCTTCTCATTTTAATCTCAACTAATGTTTAAATCAGAATAATCCCAACTATAGGGGTCCCTTCTCAAACTAGTCCCTCTTACCTACAACCTGTAATATCGGTAATTTTTTTTTTTTTTTTTAAATATCTTTTATAAGAGAATAATTAACTTTTTAATTATTTATTTTTACTGTCACCCACCAGCATTCACCTACAACCCTCAACCCAACCATAGCCACAATCAGTCAACCACAATCAGCATTCACCAACCCCAAATCTTGCAACCACCATGGACCCACCACCTCCTCACTGCCACAATAATAGACCACCACCACGGCACCACCGTATACCACAACAATAACCCCATCTACCACCTCCGTATCACCCATCTCTCCCCTCCCTCAACCAGTGGCGCCCCACCTCAACCACCTAACCCCACCTATATCCCATTTGCTACCTCGCCAATCCGCCATCAACCGCATCTCCTCCCCCTTCTGCGTATCCCATTTCATCTCTTCCTTGTCCAACCGCTCTGTTCCTCTCCCCTCTCTCAAATCGCCTCCATTCTCTCTCCTATCTCCTCTTCCTGTTCAGCAGTCGTTGGTGTGATTGATATCGGTGGTTAGTAGTGCTTGATGGTGATTCATGGCTGGGGTGGTAGAAATGATGGTTTCGGTGGATGGGCTTGGCTGGAAAGATTCTTTAAGTTGCTGGCGTTGGATGTTGAGGTGGTTTTACTGGAAGACTACGTTGGGTAGGTGGTGAGATCAGAACATACAGAAGGTGGTGGTATGAATTTAGATTTAAGAGCATGTGGGGTTTTTTTTTTAATTATTTTTTATTTTTTTTTATTTTTTAAAAAAAAAAGATAATAAAACAAATAATTTGTTGAAAAATGGCTCAATCTACCTGATTACCTGGTTAACAAAAGTTTGAAACTAATTTGAGAAGGGACTCTTATAGTTGGGATTATTCTGATTTAAATAGTTGTTGGGATTAAAATGAGAAGGGAGTCAATAGTTTGGATTATTTTTGTTAATTTTTCCTTTAATTTTCATCTCTTTATAATGTTTGTTATTAATATATTACATATACAGTGTTCTCTAATAGCCTTCAGAAACAGCCATTTTGCGGTTCATTTATGTTTTAAACAATTAACTGATGAAATCTATATGTTGTCCTTAACCATACCTATGTTTGTTGAGATTATTATCTGGACCAATATATCTGATCCAGTAAGTTTTAATTTGAGCAGCATTGATTGTCGTGTTAGATGTCATTTGCTGATCTATTGTAGATCCTCTTTTGGTATATGGCCTGCATTACATTATTTCTGATATACTTTGTATACACAGTTGGTACTTCATTTATTTTATTTACTTTTTTGTTGTTCCCTTGAGTTATAATTGATGTCCTTCAACCATGCATGTATTTGTTGAAACAAGTTGATTTATCAGCATATAGCAAGAAGTCATGTGTCATGTGGATGCGGCTTGTATTTTGCTTATACTTTAGTTTTAATCTTAATGCAGGCATCTATCCGGGATACATTAGTTCTTCCAAATTGTGAAAGTGTATGTATTCCGTGGATGTTAGCAGAGAAAGATGATTGGATTCCATGTCATGCTGCTCCATTGATGTGGCTGAATCGAGAAGCGCAATCAGAAACTAATTCAAATGAAGGATCTAGAAACAAAAGAACAGAGGGTAGGGATCTAGAGAGCAACCTAGGGAAGCAGAAGAAAACTGATCCTCTAAAGCGGTCTATTGATGCAGAAAATGGTCAAGGTGTCCCTTCCACAGCTTTCCGTAGAAGTTCTTCTGATAGCAGCATGCCTTCATCGGACTTGAAAGTGCCATTGCTACAGAATGAAGAGTCAAGAGATATGGTTATCCATAGAAAACAAGAGAATACCGAGTGTCCTTCACCTTCTAGGTATGTTAGTTTAAGAGAAGAAAGAAACAGTCTTGAAGATGATGATACAAAGTCTAAGAGGCCGGTGGGAAAAAAAGCTAGGATGTTTGACTTGGGAAAAAAAATGGGGGAGAAATTTGAAGAAAAGAGGCGCCATATTGAAGAAAAGAGTCGGCATATTGTTGAAAAGATGCGAGGGCCAGGAAGTTAACAGAAGTTTATTATTTTTTCTTACAGAGCAGTGCATTCTTCTACAATTCAATACGTATTACATTGTTTTCTTCCAAGAGGAAAGAAATGCGGAGAGAAGGCAGTGTGACTGCGATTTACAGTCTGTGATAAGTGTGTAGTCTTGTTCTGGTGTACAAATGTGTGAATGAGTAACAATTGGAGAGCAGAAACTAGCAAAGTGATTTTAAAAAACTAACTCAAGTGTGTAGGAACCAAGGAGAGTTTACCAGACACGCTTCATGCTGGATTGTTGCTTCGTAAGTCCTTGTATACTAGGGCTATTCTAGGGAGTCTGTTCGTTGATTTGTTGTATACTATTCTTTACCATAAAGGTGTAGCATAAGGTTGAATTACACTGCTGATAAATTTACATTCATCAATGAATTTCTTTTTGCAACTATCATTTATTCCAGGTAAGGTGTAAAGCTGAGACTGGATGCAAGTAATTTTGTGTGAAATATTGGTAAAAGTTCTTAGCAATTAATCACTTTTTGACTTTGAATATGGTTCAAGCTTTGAGTTTGACTGCTCTTTGTTCTATCAAAATACTCCATTTGTCTTATAGTATAGTACCAGTACATATTTACGTCAAAAAAAATAAAAAAAATAGTACCAGTACATATTTTAATTTAAAGGCAATACATATTACATACTGTCATATTCAGGCACCAATCGTAATGCATTTTAATCAGCTATTGTTGCTTTGTTATAAAAAATTTTGTCCTCCGCCTTTGTGCAAAAACTTTCTCAATAGCGTCGATCCTCCTATTCCTCGGCTAATCAGGTTCAATATCAAGAACTAGCTAAAGAAATGCAATGTAAATTACCAAAGGAAAAATTGTCCGGAATTATCCTACCTTTGGCCCGTCCGCTAAAAATAATCCCACATTTGGATTATTTTTAAATAATCCGACCTTTATACCCAATCCACTTTAAATGGTCCCAACCGGTCTTGTTACTTGTTATAACAAGTTACTTGACACGTGTCGCCATGTAATTTGTCAAAAAATAAAATAAAATTAAAATAAATTTTTAAAAAAGTTAAATGTTTTTTTTAAGGAAAACTAAATAAAATTAATAAATATTTAAAAACCACTAGCAACATAAGCCTTCCCCGCCACCCCTGACACCTCATCCCCATGGCTCCAGTCACCCAGACCCCCAACCCCGGCGCCGACGGTGCGCTGAACCCCCTCCCATGAACAACCCGCCTCCCTCCATCACATAACCACCGTTTCCTTCCCTCACGACAGCACCAACCAACCTCACTCACGAAAGCACCAACCCCTAACCCCAACTCCAGCGTTGACGTCGCCGGCCCCTCCCCTGAATCACCAGCAACTCCCTCCACCACGAAATCCAGGCATATAATTGGCGAGATTTTCCGTCCCTGGTCCCATCACGATCCCAGCCCCCTCCCCGTTCGCCGTCCCTTTTACGGCCGCGCCATCTTGCCCGACCTTAATTTAGGTCGCACAACCTCCATAACCCGTTTCCTAGGGTCTGGTTTGATGGGTTTCGATATTCAAACGGGATTTGGGGTTGGGTTGGGATATGGGTTTGCAGTGGATTCGGATCTAGGTGGAGCGGTGGTTTCCGATCTGGGTGGGGTGGTAATTTTGGGTCTGGGTTTGGGGGTGGTGGGGATGGTGGTGGCTGGGTGTGGCTTAGGTGGTGGTTTTTTTTTTTATTTAATATTTGCTTTTACTTTTTTTTAATCATTTTTTTAGAACACATAAACACATTATTAGGGGTTGACTTTCGTTGACTTTCACTCTTCTTCCTCTTCTCCATGGTTAATCGATTTTGATCGGTTTCTTCATCAATCTTGAGCTTCGATGGCTAAGAAGAAGAAGCAGAATAACTCTACACCCCAATTAGTACAGCTTAGAAGTTCTACTGATGAAATTTTACAGAATTTGCGGAACTCAGGCACAACTTTTGTCCAAGCCCGATTCAGGAGGTGGACGAGCTTGTCACTCCGGCGCCGGCATTGGTCAATCCGGCCTGTGGTTCTATTCCCCGGAGTGATGCTAAAACCATTGCCCTATTTGCTGAAGCCATTGCTAGACCAACATCTTCGAATTTCAATAAAACAGTACCTAGGGTTTCTAGTTATATTGTTCCATTAGATGCTGAAGCGGCTGCTCATCGATCTGAACCAGCTATCACTGATTCTCACTCTGTACCTCCCCCGGAACAGAACGCACATAAGGATGGTGAAGATCGAAGCTCTTTTTCTGGGGCCCGAATGACCCTGGCAAGGTTGGCTCTGTAAGGAGGTTGCTTCATTCTCATTCAGTTGATGTTATTGGTCTTCTTGAAACAAAAATCAAATCAAAAAATGTTCTCACTTATCAAAAGAAGTTTGGCTCTTCTTGGCTTTGGATGTGCAATTATGATCATTCTCCCAAAGGGAGGATTTGGCTTGGTTGGAATGCAGATAGGGTAACTGTCAATGTCTTGAAGATTCATGAACAGTTTATTCATTGTAGTGTCTCTTCTAAGGATCTTTCTACTCAAATTCATCTCACTGTTGTCTATGGGCTTCACTCTATTCATGATAGGCTTCCTATGTGGGAAGGAATTAGGAACATCTCTATTCAGCATTCTCCTTGGCTTTGTGCTGGTGAATTTAACTCTGTTCTACATACTTCAGATAGGCTTCATGGTACTGATGTTACTGATTATGAGACTAGAGATTTCCAGAGATTGGTCGATGATTTGGACCTCACCGAGGTCAAGAGCAAAGGAGCCTTCTACTCTTGGTCAAATAAGGCTCACACTGGTCCTAGAACTCTTTCTAGGATTGATAGAGTCTTTGGTAACCAAGCTTGGCTAGCCTCTCATGGGCATGTTGAGACTGTCTATCTTCCCCCTTTTTTATCTGATCACAGTCCAGTTCTGTTGGATATTTGTTCTGCCCCTGCTGGGAGAGGTAGACCTTTCAGGTTTCTAAATTGTATTGCTGATCATCCTGATTTCCTTGATACTGTTTCTCATGCTTGGGGTTCTGGTAGTTCTGTTTGGCAGAAGCTTAATTCTGTGAAGTCTAGTGTCAAGTCTCTTAATAGCAAGCAGTTTGGCAACATTGAGGAGAAGATTACTCAAGCTAATGTTGAGCTTGCTGGAATTCAGAACTTAATGGCTCACAATCCTGATGATTTGGATTTATATGCTAAAGAATCTGATGCTATTAAGGTTGTCAAACACTGGAATGATATTCAGGAAAGCATCTTCAAACAAAAATCTAGGATCAACTGGATTAAGCTTGGAGATGGAAATTCTCATTATTTTTTCTCAGTGATGAAGAATAGACAAGCAAGGAATAGAATTGACTCCATCTTTGACTCTAACCAGGTTTTGCTTAAGGATCCGGATGCTATTTCTCATGAAGTTATCTCCTTCTATAAATCTCTTTTAGGGACCCAGGCTCCTTGGCTTCTTGCTATTGACTTTGTTACTATGAGGAGGGGTAAACAGCTTAGCTCTGTTGCTCAGAGTTATCTCATTCAGCCTGCTTCTCATGCTGAAATTGATGCTTCCCTTAAGGGAATTGATAACACTAAAGCTCCTGGTATTGATGGCTTTAATTCCTTTTTCTATAATAGAGCTTGTCATATTTTGAAAGATGATATTTATGCTAGTGTTATTGATTTCTTTACTAAAGGGACCTTGCCTAAGCAATGGAATTGCACAACTATCACTCTTGTTCCTAAAATCCCTAATGCTTCCCATGTTAAGGATTTTAGACCTATAGCTTGTTGCACTGTGGTTTATAAGCTCATTTCTAAGGTCATAACTGCTAGACTTCCTGCTATCATTGGTGAGGTCATTGATGATGCCCAAGCAGGTTTCTTTCTAGGCAAGCACATTGGTGACAATATCCTTCTTGCAACTGAATTGATCAAAGGCTATGATCACAAATTTATTTCACCTAGATGCATGGTTAAGGTGGATTTGAAGAAAGCCTATGATTCAGTTGAGTGGGGATTCTTGATTACTGTTATGCAGGAGCTTGGTTTCCCTCAGAGATTTGTTAGTTGGATCTGGACTTGTCTTACTTCTGCCTCTTATTCTATTCTTATTAATGGTTTTCCTGCCCCTCCTTTTAAAGCTAAGAAAGGTTTAAGACAAGGTGACCCTATGTCTCCCTTTCTTTTTGCTATTGGTATGGAATACCTTTCCAGGTGTCTTGATGAGCTTAGGTTAACTCCTGATTTTAACTTTCATCCTAGATGTGAAAAGTTAAACCTAACTCACATGATGTTTGCTGATGATCTATTGATGTTTTCTAGAGCTGATAGTGTTTCTGTTAAGCTTCTCTTCCAAGCCTTCTTGAAATTCTCGGATGCTTTCGGGCTTTCTGCTAATCTTGATAAAAGTGAAGTCTATTTTGGAGGAGTTTCTGTTGATGTTCAGACAGAGAGAGCTTCTTGGTGTTTCTCAAGGTACTATTCCTTTTAGGTATCTTGGGGTCCCTCTCTCTTCCAAGAAGCTTACTATTGCTCAGTGTAGGCCTTTGGTGGAGAAGGTGACTGCTAGAATCCAAGGGTGGATGGCTAAACACTTGTCCTATGCCGGGAGGCTTCAGTTGGTGAAGAGTGTGTTGTTTGGTATTCAGACATATTGGGCTCAAATTTTTATCTTGCCAAAGAAAATTCTGAAAGAGATTGAGGCTAGATTCAGGTGCTTTCTTTGGACTGGATCCTCTGCCCCTGCTAAGAAATCTTTAGTTGCTTGGAATTATGTCTGTCTTCCTAAAGTCTGTGGTGGCTGGAACTTGCTTTCTCTTCCTGAGTGGAATAAAGCAGCTGTCACTAAGTTACTTTGGGATATTGCTCATAAGGCTGATAATCTTTGGGTTAAGTGGGTCCATATCTATTATTTCAAGCATAAAGATTGTTGGACCGCTCCTACCCCTGCTAAATGCTCTTAGTTTTTGAAGAAGATTATGAATTGTAGGGATATTGTGAATGATTAAGGGGGATGGGATGGTTTTATACAAGGCAACAAGATGAAAATCAAGAAGCTTTATGCTGCTATTAGGCCTTAAGTTCCTAAGGTTCCTTGGAAGAGGGTCATTTGTCATAACTTACCAACTCCTAAAAGTGTATTTATCTTGGGCTAGCTTTGTGGGATAGGCTTGTCATTAAGGATAGGTTGCTTCAATGGCACATCTCTTGTGATCCAAGGTGTTTCTTTTTCTTGAATAGCAATGAAAGAGTTCAACACTTATTCTTTGATTGTGAGTACTCTAGACAGGTTTGGAACAAGGTGTTGAGTGTCTTACATGTTTCCAAGCCTGTTCAGCAGTTTGGTGATGAGATTGAATGGTTGAAGAAAATCTGCAGAAGTTCCAGATTGAAAAACAAAGTGATCCAAGTTGCCTTCACTGAAACAGTCTATGGTATTTGGATACAAAGGCATGCAGTTTTGTTCACTAGTTGTTGCAAGCCTGTTGATGTCCTAGTTAGGGACATTATCTTTCATTCAGCCTGTAGAATCCCAGCGGGAAGCAAATACTTGATTGCTTAGTTGGTTTATCAGGGAGCTGCTTCTGCTGTTCTGTTTTACTGTTGTTGTTG